AGAAGCAGATGACCAGGCTTGTCTTCTGAGGGGCCTCTGAGTGGATTTCAACCAGCAGCCTTTCAGTTCGTAGTTGAGCACTTAACCTAGGGACTCCTACCTCAACCTAACCTCCCTGTGGTTGATTGTCTGCCCGAGCCAACATTGTACACTCCTCCCCATCCAGTTTCTGTCCCATCTGGACTCACTTCCACTCACCCTTCGATCCGGGTTTAGAAGGTAGTTAACCCCTTCTGAGGATCCTGCCCTGACCATCACAAGTCTGGGTTAGGTGTTTCTTTGTTTTTTCCTACTTGCTTTCTTATGTTATACACCTCTGTGTGTTCACAGCCGCTTCATAGAGGTGGGAAAAGCCATTTTCAGTATTAGTATGATTTTGGAGTGCACAAGCACTGAATTGATATTCAGAAAACCCAGAGGTTAGTGTTGTTTGCCTACCTGATCTAAGCTCTCGGAGATCATTTTGTACAGATGAGAGGAGCATTACATTCAGGTTCAGTTTATGCTTTCATTTGGGTATGTTTTGCCTTGAAACTCCACTTCTTTTTGAGGAAGAGAAGTATAAGGGACGGTGTAGTCCAAAGGCCCAGCTGGAGAACTCCCTGCCCTCCTTACTGACTTCTGAAGGGTCCCAGACCTGCAAGGAGCACATTTTGAAAACAGTGTAGAAGACTATCTTTAAGAACCAAAATTCACCATTTAAAGATATGTTGCTCATTGGAAGCGTGAACTAACCTCTAAGAATGGTTTCCGCCTTGAAAAGCGGGGAAAAGATGAGGTGTATCTGTAAATTTGTGGTGCTTTTCCATCGCTTTCAAATAATCTCTGAATACATCACCATGTTAGACATTTTATAAAACAAACTCTGCAGCCACTGCTCTCTTTAATTGGCAACGGCTCCTGAAATCTACTTGAAAAGAACAGACGAATGGCCTTGCTACTGGGCAATCTCTTCTGGTGGGGCGCTGGTTATCCGCCAGCTGTAGGTTCTTGTGGAAACATCAGTAGCCTTTATAAATTTTTCCACCTGCAGATAAACAGACAGCCAAGAGGAGTCATTTTGATTTTTCACAACCACCTCAATATGTGGGAGAAAAAAGTCAACAGAATAGGACATGGGAGCTGCCCTGTCCATGTTTGGTCAGCAGCTACATGTAACTATTGATCACTTGAAATGTAGCTCATCTGACCTGAGATTAACTGTGTCAAATGTATACCAGGTTTCAAAGACTTCTTCTTGTTGTTAGGTGCCATCGAGAGGACACTGACCCATAGCGACCCTATGCACAACAGAACAAACAAAGCACTGCCTGGTCCTGTGGCATCCTCACAATAGTCCCTGTGCCTGAGCCCATTGTTACAGCCACGTTCAATCCATCTCCGTGAAGGATCTTCCTCTTTTTCACTTCCCCTCCACTTGAACAAACATGATGTCTCTCCTGGCAATATGTCCAATGTATGTAAGATGAAGTCTAAGGAGCACTCTAACCATCTAACAATACAGGGCAGTAACACCACCCCCCCCAGGAAAAAATACCCCACACATACACACAAAGTATCTCGATGATACTTTTTTTCAGTTGGTTCACATATCGATATTATAATACTTTAGATATATTAGATTAAAATATATTACTGAAGTTAATATTACCTGTTTCATTTATAGCATTCTTATTTGAAGCCATTTCAAATGATCCAGGTGACTTCCCTGGTGGTTGTGATTATGCATTGGCCTGCTAACTACAAGGGCAGCAATTTGAAACCAGCAGCTGCCCCGTAGGAGAGAGCAAGAAAAAGATTGGGGCTTTCTACTCCCATCAAGAATTACAGTCTCAGAAGGGCAGTTCTATCCTGTCCTATAGGGTCACTATGAGTCAGCATTGACTCCATGGCACTGAACTTAGAGTTCTGGTTTATGTGACTTGCATTTGTGGTTTCCATTATATTTCTTAGACAATGATGCTTCATCTAGAAAGTACAGATTCCAAAAGTATGAAATATAAAGACTAGTCCACAAACTTGGGTGGAGTACACAGAGTCAGGTTCCAAACCCCTAACCAAACCAAACTCATTGCCATCGAATCAGTACCGACTCATAGCAACCCTGTAGGACAAGATAAAACTTGCTCCTGCACATTTTTTAGACTGTACTTCTTTACCCGAGTAGAAAGCTCAATCTTTCCCCGCAAACACCTAAAGATGATGTCAATATTTTTTTAATGTAGAGTTTTAGGGAGGTGCATGCCCCATCCTGTTATGTACAAATGCTGTGTGCTGGGTTGCCTTCGTGTTCTAACACAGAAATAAGCGAAAATCCTGCCCTTTTCTGTGACACTGTCTTATCCCCAGTAATGCAACAGCTATGCCTCTGCTGCTAACGGAAAGGCTGGCAGTTTGAACTCACCCAGTGGCTCTGCAACACAGACCTGGCGAGCTGCTCCTTAGAGGGTATCCCCCAAACACATCTATTGCCATCAGGTCAGTTCCCACTCATAGTAACCCCATAAGACCTCCCCACCGGGTTTCCAAGGCTGCAAATCTTCCTGGAAGCAGACAGCCACATCATTCTCCTGTGGAACACTGGGTGAATTGCAAACACCAGCCTTTCCTTGCTTGGGCAACCAAACACTTAACTGCCTAGGAAACTCTGTGGGGCAGTTCTACATGCCAACAGCCTGTTTCAAAGACCAGTAAATCCATTTCAAAGGCCCCTTTTATTCAGCATGAGGATCCTGAAGTTTGCCTAATTAAAGCTAAGAGATAATGAGAGAGGTATCCCACCCCATTCACATCCTCATAGATCTGCTTTTGAGATCTCCCTAGATTTAGCCAGTAGAAGGAGACACCTTATTTCAGAGTGGTAGTTATATGACCACCGTAAGTGGGGTCGTAATATAAATAATAATAATAAAAATAATAATAATGCAACTGTAGTTTCCTATTAGCAGTTTTTCTGCCACAGCAGCTTTTCATTCTGTTTGATCATTTCCCCTTAATAAATACTGGCTGGACCATACTTTGTCAGACTTTTAGCACATATATACTGAGCATTGAATTTGTGCCAAGCACTATGCTGGGTCCTAAAGATACATTAGCATATAAAAGACGACAAAGTCCCTGACCCGATAGACAGGCTTCCTAGAAATATGCTCTAATGCTAAGTTGTAAATTACTGATATATTATGTGGGGTTCTGCCAAGTGCTGTTCATTTATGTTGTGTCAACTTGACCTTTGACTCAAGAGATAGTTTATCTCCTCAAAGGACTTGAGAATTTGCCCTCTGGCTTTCATCATGTTTGTCATTTCCTCTAGAAAAGAGGGTGTGTGTGTGTGTGTGTGTGTGTGTGTGTGTGTGTGTGTGTGTGTTGGAGTGACCTCACTGCATTTTCTTCTTGCTGCGGTCTCTTTTCATAGTCTACATTGAGCAGGTAATTTTCTCCCACAGGAACCCTAGGCATGGAAACACTTAACTAATTGGAAGTGACTCTAGTGCTGTAATTACAGTGAGCTTGGGAGTGAATTATATTTAAAATATGGATTCTTACTATGAAAGAGTAAGCATTTTGGTACCCAAGTATAGGTACTACCAGTTGAAAAACAGACGAAGCATGAAAACCTGTGGCCAGGTGTTACGTGGGTTCTTTCAGCAATTGTGAAACTCTGGAGTATTGTGTATAGCACTTCTTTGTTAGCTTTGATCCATTGGTTTTAAATTTTTTTTTACCAAGGTCAGCAACTCAGGACAAACATGGCACAGAGAGCTCTCTTCTGGGGGAGGGCACTAAACATTTCTCCCTGCCTTTTCTTGATAACAGGCTTTGTATCTTGTCTTATGAAGGCTAGAAGGAACTCTGGTAGTGCAACAGGTAAGCACTCTGCCGCCAACAGAGAGGTTGGCAGTTCAGGTCCACCCAGTGGCTCCGACTGCACTGGAGAAAGACCTGGTAATCTGCTCCCGTAGAAAGCACAGCCTAGAAAGCCCTTTGTGGCAGTTCTGCTCTGTCTTGTGAGGTCTCTATGAGTAAAAATCAACTCGCCCAGAACGTAACAAAGAGCAGCAGCAACATATGCGCCCAAAGATACATTGCTGCACTTCCTTTTGCAGGCGTTTACACAGCTTCCTTCCCTGCCTGAGCGCCTCTTGACATTTTCTGTCTCCACATGACACGTGAATGAGGATGAGAACTTTAGGCCATTACTAACAGCATTCCACTGGATTTCTTTTCTTCTTGCTCTTCCTCTTCTCTGGAAGGAAGCACAATTCTTAATTGGGGGGTATGTCAACCCTCCTACATTTGGAGGTTTTTGGTACTTTTGTTTTGTTTTTAGGGAATGAGGCATTGCCTCTTAATTAAGCTTCATTGTCAATTGATCTCTAAGGAGCCCTGATGGCATAGGACTGTGATCTGCAAGGTCAACAGTTCGAAACCCCCAGCCGCTCCACAGAAAAAAGATGGGACTTTCTGCTCCCATAGAGAATTTCAGTGTGGGAAACTCACAGGGGGCAGTTCTACCCTGTCCTGTAGGGTCACTATAAATGGGCATCGACTTGATGGCAATGAATTTTTCAATGGATTTCTATTGATCTAAAAGAAAAGTTGTTATCTCTTAAAGGCCTAAATAACTAACTTTTTATGACTCTCTAAAGAGAAAGTAGAGCATCTTTGGCATTTCATCTGGTTGGATTTCTCTATCCGTGACGTAAGAACTGAATAACTGAAAAATAATAATAATTTATAAATTATAAAGGGCTTGTGAGGAATGGAGGGTGGGCAGGGAAGGGAAAGAATGAGGGGCTGATAACAAGGGCTCAAGTAGAAAGAAAATGTTTTGAGAATGATGATGACAACAAGTGTACAAATGTACTTGACACAATGGATTGTGATAAAAGTTGTATGAGCCCCAAATAAAATGATTTAAGAAAAAAAATAACTGAATAACTTTACACCTCTTTGATATCTACCTGCTTTTTAACATAATATTGTAATATATTTTTCAGGTTTTCAATTCAAGAACAGCAGAACTACTTAGTCACCATCAAGTGGAAATAAAACAAGAATTCCCAAGAGAAGGGTATGTTTCCTGTTTTAATATGTAGAAGACACCCCATCTGCCCTGGGGATTGGGAAAGTAAACTTGGCAAGACACTCTTCTGAGGGGTAGATATGCCAAGGAAAGAAGCAACAACCTGAAATTTAGTAAAAACATGTAGTTAATTGATGGCTTAGAAAATCAGTGGCAGAAAATGAAATCTTGGCAAAGTAATAAATCAATACATTATCAAGTATTAGGAGTTCCACATTAATTTAAAAATCATTTAGTTCTGTACAACTATGTATCTCCACTGTTGCCAAAAGAACCCTAGTAGTACTTAGGTAAGTGAGGGGCTGCTAATGAAAAGTCATTGGTTCAAACCCGCCAACCTATTGCACGGGAGCAAGATGTAGCAATCTGCTTCCATAAAGATTCTAGCCTTAGGAACCATATGGGACAGTTCCACTGTATCCTATAGGGTCTCCATGAGTTGGAAGCAGCTTGACAGCAATAAGTTTGGTTTAGTATGGGCTTTTTTAAATCATTGCTAAACTGCTTCTTTCCTGATTTTAATGTGTGGTTTTAAATAAAGTTATCTATTTTAAAAGGCATCGGCATATCTAATCACTTAGTTATAGAACCATCTTTTTGAGCAATAGTGTTCACAGTGAGTAGTTGATTAAATATAATGTTCAGTCCAGTATTTAAAATATAATGATATTTATAATACAGCTGCTTGGCTGTGATAAGAGCTGTACGAGCCTCCAATAAAATGATTGAAAAAAGAAAAGGTGTTTGGCCATGTCTTAAAGTTAAACAGATATTTCGTTCTTAGTAATTTATCTAAGAGGAATGAAAACATATGTCCATCTAAAGATGTACACAGAAATGTTTATAGCTGTTTTATCCATAACTCCAAACTAGAAGCAAGCCACATGTCTCCGATCAGTAGAACGAATTATGGTGGAATATTACTTGGCAATTTTCAAAAAGTAAACTATGTGCAACCACATGGCTGAATCTCAATAACATGCCAAGTAAAGAAAGCAAATACCAAGCAGTGCTATTTCTCTGAAACATGGGAATGGCTAAACTAATTTGAAGATGTTCGAAATCAGAAAAGTGGTTGCCTGTGGGGTGTGTGATTGACTTGAAAGGAACATGAAGGAACTTTCTGGGGTGATGGAAGTACTCCATCTCTTCTCGGGGACGTTCTCCAGCTGGGTCAACATTCAACAACCTGAGGCCTGTAGATGTGTGCATCTCACTGTAAAGGGTGCCTCAATGTTAAAAAGCGAGACTGAGAAAATGATGTCTTATCAAATTTTACAGTTTAGAAACTATGAAAAATTCTCCCCTATTTTATATTATTTTGCTTAATAAACAAAGCTACTATGATGCTAAGGTGCCCTGATGACACTCAGGGTTAGGTGTGAGGCTGCTAGGGAAGGAAGACTGAGTTTTAGAAACAGAACTCAAAGCTCAGGACAGAAAAATACATAGTCAAGCCTCAGACAATCTGTGAGGACTGGTGGCGCAGTGGTTATTCACACGTGGCTGCTAATCTATTCATACTTCACTGCTAACCAAAAGATTGGTGGTTGGAACTCACCCACTGAGAATCTGCTCCAGTAAAGATTACAGTCTAGAAAACCTAATGGGGCAGACAGGTCTATTGTGACATGACATTACTATGGGTCAAAAGCCACTCAAAGTCACCCAACAATAGCAATGAGGAAGAGGCATGTGGGATTCCCATGCTATTCCCAGATCCTAGAATAAACTCAAAACTCACTGCTATTGAGTCCGTTCCAACTCATGGCTACCCTATAGGGCAAAGTAGAACAGTCCCATGTGAATTTCTGAGACTGTTCATTTTTACCGGAGTAGATAGCCTCATTTTTCACCCTCGGAGTGGCTAGTGGTTTTGAACTACTGACCTTGCAGTTAGCCACCCAGTGAGCACTCCACCACCAGGGCTCCTCTTTAAATCTGTGTAATTCCCATTACTGAGCTTCTTCAAATTGCCCTTTGTTTTTCTCAGCATCACTCTGTGTTGGAATTGTCTTGATGGGAGTGGGTTTGGGTTGTTATTGTTTTCGGTTTTTTGTCTAGTTTCATTTCTTATCATTGCTTCACTTATTGGACTTGAAAGCAACATTGAAAAATAGTTGAAGAACTGTTGGGTATTTTAGCCTGCTATTAGTGACCTCCTTAAAAAGAAGCTATTATTGTATGAAGAATGTTATAAATTAAGGTGTTAGCTTTTTAAAATTTTTAAATAATTTCTTTAGAAGGTTGGATGTGCTTCACTTTAGGCAAAATTGATGAGCCAAAAGAAATTCTAGTATTTTCCATGGTTCAATCAGTCACTGAGTCTCTTTTAACCCCATTTCATGTTACAGAGATCAATGGTAGGAAGTGCATGTGTTCTATCAATCAAATCACGTGCATAGCCCTTTACAATTTCACGGTGCATAAACTGCCAGGTAAATTTGAACTGATTTTCTATAATTGATGCAGCAGTCATGCTTTTATAAGTGAACATTTCTCAATATAAAAATTACATTTGTATTACTTCCTTGTAAACTAACCAAATACATTTTTTTTTGTTCAAAGATGGGTGGAGCAAGACCCTAAGGAAATTCTGCAGTCTGTCTATGAGTGTATAGAGAAAACATGTGAGAAACTTCGAGAGCTCAATATTGATATTTCCAACATAAAAGGTATCTTAATGGACTCTTTCACGCACCTCGTACAATGGTCTTGATCAAAGTTGTAATCATTATAATAAAAGACAGTCTGGGTCCTACTAAGCCCTTCACTAATTCAACAGATCACTGAGTACCAGTGCAGTGCCTGGAATGTCTGTGAGAATGAGGATGCCCCAGTAAACACAGGCCGATTCAGTCTCTATTCTTATGAAGCTTCTATGTTGGTGGGGTGAGAGAAACAATAAGAGCAGAAAAGCTCATTTCAGAAACTGAGAAGTCCCATGCAAAAAAGAAAACCAAAGGATGTGGTGGCATATGCCCTTGGAGGGGCTTGCTTTGCATTGGGTGACCAGCAAAGTCCTCTTTGCTGAGGGACATCTCAAAGGGCCAGAGGAGCCAAACAACAAACACCAAGCCCATTGCCGTTGAGTTGACTCCAAGTCATAGCAACCATATAGGACACAGCACTGCTCCATAAGGTTTCAAAGCTGGTAAATCCTGACGGAAAGAGAACACCATATTTTCCCCCTGACTTTTCAATGAGCAGCATAGTGGTTAACCATGACATCACTTTCAAAAAGGACTTGGAAAGAGTGTGCTTGCGGACAAGGATGTGGCACGTGCCAAGCCCCTGAGGGTGGGAATACGCTTGGTCCATTGCTGGTCTCAAAGAAGGTCCACATGTCAAAGGCAGAGTCAAAGAAAGGTGGGAGTGGGTGAATAGTGAGTCTCCGTGGGCGCTGGGATCCTGGAATGGTGAGAGATGGGTAGGGCTTGGTTCACCAGGGTTGAGAGTTTGGATGTGTTCCTTAGCATTACAGGGAGCTATTAGAAAGTTTGAAGCAAATGTGTGATGTGATCTGACTTGCAGTTTGAGGGTAGCTTCCTGGCTGTTAGGTTAAGACTGATTTAAAAGGATTCAGTGTAGATTCAGGGAGACCAGACAGGTGGTGGCTTGTGGTACCACATTGTAGCCATGGGACTAGGGAGAAAGGGCTAGGGCCTACTGATAGATTGGACAACAGGGTAGTGGCGGCTCATACAACTCATCACAATCCATACAACCATCCATTGTGTCAAGCACATTTGTACATTTGTTGCCCTCATCATTCTCAAAACATTTGCTTTCTACTTGAGCCCTTGGTATCAGCTCCTCATTT